CAAGGTCAAATTTTCGGCCTTCGCATTCAGTGCCTGGAGTCTTGCAGTGGAGATCAGACAAGCGGGGCAGGACAGCGGATTTTGGGTAGCAGGCTGACATGGTAAGCCATAGACTTTTGGCTGCTTAAAACTTAAATTATAGAAGTGCCCTCCTTTCACGTTCAAAGCAATGCTCCTAGCGTTGGCTAGTTCCTGCTGCCGGCAATCCGGCAAGCATGAACTCAGCCCCGTCGCACCCCCTCGAGGCTGTCCCCGGGAAAGATCCCTGTATGCTGCCCCTCTCCCGTCTCCACCGCGTGGCTGTAAACTGCCGGTTACAGTTATGTAAAGGAGCAGGCAAGCAGTCCCAATACTAACGTTCCCCTAATTCAAAGCAGGTCACCATGAACGACATCACTCTGCTGAGGATTTCTGAAACCGAGAAAGACTGCATGCTGCGTGAAAGCCAGCAAAATCCAGGGCCGTATGCCGCCATGCTCTGCAAGGCAATGATCCCAGAGTACTTGATAGCCTGGCGCGGAAAAGTTTCCTACCACGGAGGACACAATAAGGTTGCTGTCCCCAGGAACCTCATGCAAAGGCTTTCCAATTACCTCCAGGACAGCTTCGTGGAGATGTCCCATGAGGATTTCAGCTCTATCCCCGGACATATAGACAGTATTTTCCAGTAGCTGCACTGGCAAGGACTAAAAATTAGAGCGCCTAGGGCAAAGTAATCATGATAAACTGGACAATGTTAGATTCTTTTGCAGTAGTTGCACTGCCAAGGACTAAAACGTTAAGCGCCTAGGGCAAAGTAATCATGAAAAACCCATTGTTAATGTTCCTGTTCCATTCAAAATAAATGTTTACATGTTTAACACACTTCCGACTGATCCTTCCCCAGAATCAGGGTCCGGGTTAACGCGTGGGGAGGGTTGGTAGGGGATCTCTGTGAGGATGATGAAGAGATCCTGGCTGTTGGGGAAATCAGCGTTGTAAGCGCTGTCGACTGCCTCGTCCTCCTCATCTCCTTCCTCATCTTCCCCGTCCGCAAACATCTCCGAGGAAGTGGCCGTCGACAATATCCCATCCACAATCGGTGGGGTACTGGTGGCGGCCGCATCTAGAATGGAATGCAGTGCCTCGTAGAAACGGCATGTCTGGGGCTGGGATCCGGAGCGTCCGTTTGACTCTTTGGTCTTCTGGTACCCTTGTCTCCGATCCTTGATTTTCACGCGGCACTGCGTTGCATCCCGGCTGTATCCTCTCTCTGTCATGGCTTTTGAGATCTTCTCGTAGATCTACGCATTCCGTTTCTTGGAGCGCAGCGCCAAAAGCACGGACTCATCGCCCCACACAGCGATCAGATCCAAGACTTCCCGATCAGTCCATGCTGGGGCCCTCTTTCTATTCTGAGATTGCGTGGTCACCTCTGCTAGAGAGCTCTGCATCATTGCCAGTGCTGCTGAGCTCGCCACGATGTCCAAACAGGAAATGAGATTCAAACTGGCCAGACAAGAAAAGGAATTCAAATTTTCCCAGGGCTTTTCCTGTGTGGCTGGTCAGAGCATCCGAGCTCGGACTGCTGTCCAAAGCATTAACAGAGTGGTGCACTGTGGGATAGCTCCCGGAGCTATTAGCGTCGAATTCCATCCACACCTACCCTAATTGGACATGGCCATGTCTAATTTAGCGCTACTCCCCTCGTCGGAGAGGAGTACAGAAATCAAATTTAAGAGACCTCTGTCGAACTAAATCGCTTTGTTGTGTGGACAGATGCAGGGTTAATTCGATTTAACGCTGCTAAATTCGACATAACCTCCTAGTGTAGACCAGGCCTAATTCATTGCTGTGGACCGTCCTTTACTGGCTTTTGTTTCTAATATGTGTTTTTAATCAGTTTTTTTTTAAGCCAAGGTGATAAAGCCCCGTTTTGCTGAAGTTTCACAGAGACTGTTAGGATAAGAATTGACAATAGTTAAGATTGCATCCATGTAACACCACCTCCAAGTGGAATTGATGCTGGTGGGCATCGCCTGGTTGAAGTTAGTCTGAGCACTTGTATTTGTACAAATTGCATTCATTACCAAGAAGCCTGCAGTAGTGATAAGAGACTGGCTGTATAGTATAGATTGGCTCCAAGATAAGTAGCCAGTCAATTGTGCAGCTCATAGTAATTTTCCTTTTTTTCTATTAATTAATCTCTGTTCATTTCAAAATGGAGGGTGGCTGCATACATATGCTCCTGCTAACATCTTGAATGTATGACACCTAATCATCATTTCCCCTCTAATTGGATTTTCATATCCAGATAAGCCTGCTGATTGGGAGATGGATAGACTGCATGTTCAAGGAATGCCTTCCCAGCATTTATATACTCTGGCTGTGTGTGTGTTTTTTGCCTTGAACGATAAGATCTCCTGGATTATTTTTAGACCAATGACTGTACATGAATGGTTAGACTGTCCCAGTTCCTCTTTGCCGTGTTTACCATGTGTTAAAACTTGAGTCCATTTTCAGACATAGCTGTCTTTGTGAGGAGACCAACATCTGAAGCATAAGAGTGGTTGTGGGTAGGAATGAGGACTTAACCTATGTTTTTACCCCAAATAGTGTGTTCCTATGGTATTCTCTGCCATATATACCCATTCTTTTGTGTACAGCAGTTTGGAAATTTTCTGACAAAACAGAAAATGTTGGTTCAGTGAACCCAAAATGTTTTACACACATGGTTCAGGTTTGATGGAATTTTGTTGAATCACAGACAAGGTTCTTTCTGACAGAACTCTGGCTGGCAGGGATGCTAAGAAGTCTGGACTTCCATGGTCTTTGGCAGTCCAGCCATGCTGATAGGTCGGAGGATCCTGAAGCTTCAGGGGACCTTGTGTTTCCAGTTTCCCTGCATTGGAAACCAGCTGCTATTCAGTGGTGATCAACAGTGAAACTGACAAATGTCTTAATTTCACTCCTGCTGTCAGAGAATTGTGGGGGGAGGGGGGAAAGAGAGGGGGTGGTTGTTTTTGGAAACACCATGTTTCAGCCTGTCCAAAAAAAATAATGGAATCTTTGGTTTATAGCAGATGTTAAACTTAGTTTTGGTCCTGATTAGACCAAAACCAAATTTTAAAATGTCAGTTTCTCGCAAACCAAAAATTCAGAGTTTTCCTGACCTCTGCTATTGTGAATTAGGTGGCTTTCAGTGTGGTTTTTGTCTGTACAAGCATTCACTGATCTGTATCTGTAGTGAAAATGCTATTAATCGTAGTGGTTTAGTGTGATATATTTTCTTCCAATTGTTGAAATAACCAATTAAAATGGCAGACAGTAATTAAATTGCAAAAGATAAATTAAGTCATAGGTTATGTAGAAATGGGATTTATGGATTGCAGGTTTCTCTCTTACAAAAACATACATAAAGCTGAACATCAACATGCTAGATTTTGTCTGCCTTTACATGACTTCAGTAGTCTAGCCCATTCAGAATAAAGTGACATGAATTTTGAAAAATAATTCATTTTAACTTTCTCCCTTTTCTCTTCTCCCCACCCCTGTTTAGGGCTTGAATGGCAGTGCAGTTGCTTCTGGATCATCTGGTTTTAGTCTTACAAAACAGTTGTTTCGTCCAAGAATAACACGTGTCTGTCTCAGGGACTTGATATTCTGCATGGAACAAGAGAGGGAGATGAAGCGTTCTCTAGCCTTGTACCGTGCTCTTCTGAAGTGATGATTCAAATCTTGCATTTCATTTCTTGCTGTCTACTGCCAAAGAAAACACTGAAGCATTGTTGCACTGTCCTGAAATTCCAATTTGTGGGAATAATCCGTTATAAGGATAACTTTTGTTTACAGATGCACATTTGTATTAAATACCTAATTTAGCACCTAGAGGTTTTTTAAAAATAAATCACATTTGGGTTAAAACCAATCTGTAAACCAGTGAAGACACCGAGCACACAAGTACTCAACCCACCTGCATGCATTTAACTCTTGCAGACTAAAGACTTAAGATGTGTGCCAAGTTATCTGTCACATGCTTCAGTACTCCAAAGTCTACAACATCTGTTGTGTGTGTAAAGCCTTCCTCTAATCCAACCTTATTTAGGAAAACAAATTTCAAGGCACTACATAGCCTGATGAATGTATCTAATCATGAGCCAGCAATCAATCAACATGCTACTGTATCACCTATCTGACTCAGCATTTCTTTACATTTCCTAGTTTTGGAATTAGTTGCTGTAACGATTTCTAAGAGCCAGTTTACAAGGAATGGGGGAGCAAGCAAAGGGATGTGAAGTAAGCTCACTTTTCCTTATTGCCTCCAAAGGAAGACTCAACCAAGAGGAATGTATAAATGCAAAAGCTCCTGTCATGAGGTTCACATCTTATGGTTTGGATAGCATGAGCTTCAGTGTTGAGGAAACCTGGAGCTAGCTAGTGAAAGACCAGAATAAGAAAAGGAGCCTAAAAAGGAATGGGAAACTAGATTTGGTATATTTTCCTTTGCTAGTCATCTAAACTAGCAGTAAGTTCAACTAAACCTTGAACAAAAAATTGAACAGTCAAAAGCAGCCTGCTTTGGCTTTCTGCAGAAAAGGCTATTTAAAATGTTAAACATTCTAAGACTATGCAGTCAGAAAATAGTCCTCTTTTTAAGAGGGAGAGTAGCATTTGCAAGGTGCAAAGCTTTCATTGCTTTATTGAGAATGTAAACTTAACTGATGTGACGCAGGTGCTACAGCAAAGATGTGCAGAATATATTAATTAGTGATCGGGGATTGTCTCAAAAAATGTAAACTAAATGGTTTAGCCAGTTGCGTAATTCCCACTCAGTGAAGGTGACTCCAGTTTCTTAATACCGTTGGAATAGTTTTTCTGCATTTGACGATCCAGTGAAAGCTGCCTTGTTGGAGAAGGGAAAATCCCTTCCTCCTACTGCATCGCATACCCTATGGCATACACTATAGCACTGACACAACTAATAGGGAAGGCAGGAGCGGTGTATTGAATGCCTTCCTGCTGAAATTTAAGGAAAAGGCTTCTTACAGTTATTTGGCATGCTAAAGTGAAAAAAAATGAAATGTAACCATATCCTCGATCGCTAGGACCACTGCAGACCCTTACCAAATACAATACGTTTCAAATCAGTCATGTTTTTGTGTTGGGACAATAGTGAACAAAGCTAGTAAATTGCAGTAAATTATTTGTGTACATATAGCATATATGTAAAAAGCAGTACTTTGACAATGAAGCTGTAGTTTGCAAGATATTGATGGCATCAGGCAAAATTGTTTTGTATAATTAAATGCTTAGCTTTACTTTTTATGTAAAGTGCAGCATTTTTCCATATTTGTGTACTGTATCTTATTGACCAGATGTTTAAAATTATTTTAAATACTGCATTAAAGCAATTATTTTATTAAAAATAATAGTGGGTAACTTTACTCCATCTCACGCTAGGAAATACGCAATCTTCAATGTTTTTGAAAATTGATGCTTCAGAAATGAATGAAAAGAGATGCAGTTATCTCTTAGTCATGGTAATCAGCACCAGAGTTATATGTACAGGAAGCTGTGGTTTGCTTTATTTAAAATATTTTATTGGTTAAACACATGCCCATTGAAGTCTGTATTTATACAAAAATTAGGAACAAAATCAGCAAGGAACTCCTTAATAGAAAGTCTCAAATTACAATTGAAATTTAAAATATTTGTTGACCTCCAGAATATAAAGCCATAGCTGTGCTAGATTAATATAATTTTTTTAATCTGAACAGGCTTCAATTTTTTATTCTTGGTGTCTGTGTAATATTTCCTTCATAAAGTAGAGAAACATGGAACTTTAAAGTCCTGATATAAAACCCATTGGAGCCAGTAGGTTTTGGATCAGGCCTTAAATGATTTAAGTATATGCATTTTGGTCAGGGAGCTCAACACCTTTACCATGGCCTATATCAATAACCTTTTCTTGGATTTTACAGACTGGGGACCGAATGGCTAGGTAGCAGTTCTGTAGAAAAGGACCTAGGGGTCACAGTGGTCGAGAAGCTGGATATGAGTCAACAGTGTGCTCTTGTTGCCAAGAAGGTTAACGGCATTTTGGGCTGTGTAAGTAGGGGCATTGCCAGCAGATCGAGGAACTTGATCGTTCCTCTTTATTCAACATTCATGAGGCCTCATCTGGGGTACTGTGTCCAGTTTTGGGCCCCACACTACAAGAGGGATGTGGAAAAATTGGAAAGAGTCCAGCGGAGGGCAACAAAAATGATTAGGGGGCTGGAGCACATGACTTATGAGGAGAGGCTGAGGGAACTGGGATTGTTTAGTCTCCAGGAGAGAGGAATGAGGGGGGATTTGATGGCTGCTTTCAACTACCTGAAGGGGGGTTCCAAAGAGGATGGAGCTCGGCTGTTCTCAGTGGTGGCAGATGACAGAACAAGGAGCAATGGTCTCAAGTTGCAGTGGGGGAGGTCTAGGTTGGATATTAGGAAACACTATTTCACTAGGAGGCTGGTGAAGCACTGGAATGCGTTACCTAGGGAGGTGGTGGAATCTCCTTCCTTGGAGGTTTTTAAGGCCTGGCTTGACAAAGCCCTGGCTGGGATGATTTAGTTGGGAATTGGTCCTGCTTTGAGCAGGGGGTTGGACTAGATGAGCTCCTGAGGTCCCTTCCAACCCTGATATTCTATGATTCTATACCTGAAAGAGATGCAACTCAGGATAAATTTCTCTAATCTTTCGCAGTTTATTATTACTAACTTAATGCTGGAGTTAATATATACTTTGAAGTTAATGGTCTAAAATATCTTTAAGTGAATTACATGTCCATATAATGGACCCCTTAAACATTGTCCAGGTCATGGTATGATTGCAACATTTAGAGAGTACAGTGCCATTCATTTCTAGTACTTAGATTCGTCACCTACCCAGATGTACAATACAAACAGTTCACCTACCTCTCTAAACAGTTACAGTTCCTGCACATTGACTTACACAATAGTTAAATCTGTTTGGAGTGAATCTGACACACGATCTGTTTCTCAGTAACTGAAAGCCAATTCATATTGGTTTACTTCCAAAATCTGTCAGTTATGTTTTGAGTTGTTTGGTGTGACAGCCTTAATAATTAAAGTTGTTTGTATAGGTTCCTTACTTGTATTCCCACAAATTGGAAAGGGCTGTGTATTTTATAAAAGGTGTGTGTGTGAGAGAGAGAGAGATGGCTCAGACCTGAATAATGTGGAGTGAGTACCTTTCTAGAAGAAATATAATTTCTGGTGCAATTACTGAATTATAGCGATTCCCAAGTGTGGAAACTAATAATCTTTCCAATAAGAATAGGGAGAAGATAGAGAAAGGTGAGGAATTTCCATAGAGCTGTGTGAGATTTGTTTTAATACATTAAATCCTTTGACACCTTGTGAATAGCGATTGGGTGGGGAGGGGGTAACTTAAAAAGCAGTTGAGCTGAGTTGTTACTGCTACAGAGTGTGCTGAATTGTGCAGGGAAGAGAAATTCTTTTGAAAAAGCATGATCATTTTGGAATTGTCAAGAAGGATGGTAGTAAAAGTAAAGGCATAATTCTAAGGAAGGAAAATAGTTCACTAGAACTGCTCTTTGCTCAAATCACTTTGATTTTATTGAAGTACACCTCTACCCCCATAGCTCCCTGTCCTCGGGAGCCAAAAAATCTTACTGCGTTATAGGTGAAACCGTGTTATATCGAACTTGCTTTGATCCGCGGGAGTGTGCAGCCCCGCCCCCCCGGAACATTGCTTTACCGCGTTATATCCAAATTCATGTTATATCATGTCACATTATATTGGGGTAGAGGTGTATGTTCTCTTGCATTCTGGCACCACTATGTGTCTTCTAGAAATCTTTCAGACTAATTTGCAGGTTAAATATTTAATTGAACAGACTTGTTGGTATTCTCCATCAGAGGAAGAAATGCATGAAAACTTCACTTTCCGTCCACCTCAGGTTCTATCCAGTCTAGTTCTTTCCTACATGATTCTTAATGTTTTGAAAAATCTGTTGTTGTTCACCCTCTCCCTTGTCCCATCCTAAATTAGTGCCAGAGGAACACCAAAAGTATGAATCTGCTTAAGCTGCATCTTGGCAACACTCCTCCATGTCCCATTGCATCAGTTGAAGTCAGCAGTAGAACCTCAATTACAAACTGACCAGTCAGCCACACACCTCATTTGGAACCAGAAGAACACAGGCAGCAGCAGAAACAAAAAAAAAGGGGGGGGGGAGGGCAAATACAGTACAGTATGTTAAACATAAACTACTAAAAAAAGGGAAAAGTTTAAAATTTTTTTTGACAAGATAAGGAAACTTTCTGTGCTTGTTTCATTTAAATTAAGATGGTTAAAAGCAGCATTTTTCTTTGGCATAGCAAAGTTTCAAAGATGTATTAAGCCAATGTTCAGTTGTCAACTTTTGAAAGAACCACCATAACATTTTGTTCAGAGTTACGAGCAACCTCCATTCCTCAGCTGTTCATAACTCTGAGGTTCTACTGTGTTTTCAGTGCCAGGATCAAGGATGAGCTCTCATTCCCCTCACCCTCTTTTTTTCTCTCTCTCTTCTCCTCCTTCGCCCCCCCTCCCCCCAATGGCTCCATGTTGTCTGATCCAGGCACAGAGTGGCTATAGCTCTCTAATGCAGAGGAAGGAGGGTAGGCAGAAGATCTGCAGCTGCAACATGCCCATATCCAGCTTCCTTTGAACTTTAGTTGTATATTAACCTAAAAGCAGTGTAAACCCCTGCTCTGCAGAGGGGAGGGGTTGGGAAGGATGGTTCTGAAAGGGATCTTCTGGAGTATTTGACCAGTCCACTCCAGAGCCTTTTTTGCAGCTGCTGAAGTCCAATCATATCTTTTTCCAGCCACTCAGGTGGGTCCTGGTATGAAACCAGGATACCCAGTATGAGTAAGATGTAATTAGCCTAGAATAGCTGCAGGGCAAGTTTGAGTTTTGCAACTCTTTCCAAGGCAGGGAAAATGCCCTGGGCATAGGTAGGTGAAGGCTCACTGGGGACACGTAGCAGGTTTCCCCTTCCTTTCTGTCATCTGAGTGGTGCAACTGGACAAGCAGAGCACAACCCCTACCCTGACCATAGAATGTAGCCCCATCTCCTTTATGAAAAAAATATATTTGGTCCTTCAACTGAAAAGGTTGGACACTATTGTTCCCACTGAGAAAGCAGCAGAAGAAAGGAGGGGCTAAGACAGGCGTAGGCAACCTATGGCACACGTGCCAAAGGCGGCACGGGAGCTGATTTTCAGTGACACTCAACTGCCTGGGTCCTGGCCACCAGTCCAGGTGGTTCTGCATTTTAATTTAATTTTAAATGAAGCTTCTTAAACATTTTAAAAACCTTATTTACTTTACATACAAGAGTAGTTTAGTTATATATTAGACATCGAAAGAGACCTTCAACAACCTTCAAGTGTATTACTGGCACACGAAACCTTAAGTTAGTGTGAATAAATGAAGACCGCACACCACTTCTGAAAGGTTGCCAACCCCTGGGCTAAGGTCTTTTGTAGATGTGAACTGGCTTATAGTATCACATTGAAAAACTGATGGTGCCATTTCCTGTAGCAGCCAGAGATAAGGACACTTTCTAGTTTCCACTCATTGGGAAACTGCTTATCTATACCTGCTCATGGCATGACCAGTGTTTCAAGTTCATAACCTCTAGATTGGAGATCTTTGTCATTAGAACTCCCAGCTGATGGCTACACCCCAGAGGCTGGTTACAGGCACTGGGAGTTCTCTGTCATGGGGTTCCTACGGCCAGTTAAGATATTCTTGCCTAACCTTGCTTTTGATGTGCAAGGATGGCCCTGTTACCTAGCAGGTGTGAAAGGTTTGAAAGGACATTTTGGCTTCTGGGAGGATAGAGGGAGAACCCTGAATTGCAGTGTTACCAACCCCAAATGTTCAAAAAGCCTAATCCCAAAAATACGTCCCAGTATGCATATTTTAAAAGATTCCAGTGTGGGGTCAGTCTTGATTTTTAAATTTCCCTTTTGTATCCCTCTGTCAATGAATATGGCCAAGTCTTCTGAATTTCTGGAGTAAGATTTTGGCTCTTGCAGCAGGGACTCTTGCTGGAATCTAAATGTGAGCAAATTAAATTTGTATAAAATGCTGCCTGCTTCTTCCCCACTCCCAAAAGTCTGATAAACTATTTTTGTGCCATCTCTAACCCCAGCTCTTCCCCATTGCACACCTGGGCATTCTCCCTGGGAGGACAACTGCACTAGTTTCCTTGCCCCTTCCCTGGCCTAGGGTTGCAACTTGCAGGGTGAGGTGGCAGCAACAGGAGCAGTGCTGGGCTCTTTCCTCCTTTCTGCTCAAGGCATGGGCGAGTGCTGCTTGCTTCCTGCAGCAGCTCTGAGTGACTGGCTGCCTTCCTCACTTCTTAGGGAAGAGCAGACAGCTGGGGTTTCCCCTAGGCAGGGCTGAAATACATGGGAGAGTTATAGCTTCTGCAGGGCGAGACTGGCTACAGCAGGAGTTAAAAATCATGTTACTC